GAGGCACGCAAACTAACGCGGCAAATGATTCGCAATTACGCTCGCTTCTTAAGCAAGTTTTTGGCAATCCCGACCGTAGTTGGTAAAAAGACACCCCGGGAAAAGTTTGCCGGAGCCGTTACCACTTATTCGTTAGAGGCGATGATGAAAGACGGCAAAGCTCTTCAAAGCGCAACTTCGCACTACTTAGGCCAGAATTTTGCCAAAACTTACGCGGTCAAGTTTAAAAATCAAAGTCAGGAACTAGTTCATCCCTACCAAACTTCCTGGGGGATGTCAACCCGTTTAATCGGCGCTATTATTATGGCGCACGGAGACAACCGGGGAGTAATCATGCCGCCCCGGGTGGCGACTTACCAAATCGATTTAATCACGTTATTTGGCGACCAAAACCCCCAAGTTTTACTAACTGCGCGCCAGCTGTTTCAAAAACTATCGCGGCGTTGACGAGTTAGGTTAGACACCAGTTCCAAAAGCCCCGGTTTTAAAGCGGCCGAGTCGGAAATTCAGGGCGTTCCGCTCAGAATTGAAATTGGACCGCGCGAAATTCAAAACGCCCAAGTTGTGCTGGTTCGGCGCGACACTTTGGTTAAGACAAATTGCGACTTAGAAACGTTACCCAAAGCGGTTGAAAAGGCTCTCGCCGCACTTCAGCAAAATCTTTTTGACCAAGCCCAGCAAAGACTTCGCCAAAACACCGTGAAAGTCAATAGTTACGCCGATCTTAAAGAAGCGATTAAAAACCACCGCTTTGTTCTCGCTCCTTTCGCTGGGAAAGAACAGCACGAAGAGCAGATCCAAGCCCAAACTGGCGCCACAGCGCGGTGTCTTCCCTTTGATTACAAACTGACCGAGAGTAAAAAATGCATCCTAACCGGAGTGCTCACACGTCGCTTAGTTTTGTTTGCCAGGGCTTATTAGGTCTGGCGTATAATGCTTTTTAGTACTAGACAAACACTTCAGAAAGCAGGTTAAAATGCCCCTAGAAATTATCAGTGGTAGCGAAATCCAATCCAAATTAACTAACGGGACAACTATCGTTAACTTTTTTGCTGATTGGTGCGGCCCGTGCCGGATGATGGCACCAGTGTTAGAGGAACTTGCCCAGCAAAACCCGGACATCACTGTTTTAAAGGTTAACTTAGACAATAACCGCGAAACAGCCACTGAATTCGGCGTTCAAAGCGTTCCAACCACATTTATTTACCACAACAAGAAACTCAAAAACAGCGCCAGCGGATTCATGCCGATGGAAGTACTCAAGCAAAAAATCGCTGTTTAGTGATGAATTTTGTTCAGGCGGTTAAAAATCTCGTTCAAGATCCAACTAGTTTTAAAGCGTTAGAGCGTTACGTGGGGCTGATTGAAAAATTTGCTCAAAAATTTAATTTAACGGCGTGAAGTCCGACTAAAATTTGGGAGCAGGGCGTTTACCAGTCGCTAGTCACTTTTTGGGACTGGGCGCAAGGCATGGAAAATCAGCCGGTTCTTGACATCGGTGCTGGCGCCGGGTTCCCGAGTCTACCGCTTAAAATCGTCTTCCCAAAAATTAGACTGACGATTTATGAAGCTAACGCCAAAAAGGTCGCTTTTCTCAACAACGTTAAAGGCGAACTCAACCTAGATTTTAAAGTCGTCCACACGCGAGCTGAGACGAGTCAAGATCGGGAAAGTTTCGCTTTTATTTTGGCTCGTGCCGTGGCCGATCTCAAGCATTTAATCCAAATGAGTTACCATCTTGGTCAGCCAAATTGCCAATTTTTGTTCGTTAAAGGCGCGGGTTACCAGCAGGAGATCAACGCCAGTCAAGCGCTAGTTAAGAAGTTAAAGATCAAAATCCAAGTTTACCGAGCGCCCGAGCCAGCTTTGTCGTACTTAATAACTTTTCGCAAGGCTTTACCAACGCCAGTCGATTTTCCGCCGCCTTGGGCCAAAATGCACCAGGCATAATTGGGCCCGGATCTTTAATCGCCCTTATAATTACCTAGTACCCTGCGACTTTAGGAACAATTGATGTCCAAGACAACCAAAGCAAAAAAACTTAAAAAACTAAACCGTCATCCCAAGGGAAACAAAAACTTAAAAAATAGCGAGGGCAACATCATCGACGTTCGCAAATTAAGCAAGTATTACGTCAGTGGCCATAACGCGGTTCGCATTTTAAAAGACATTTCTCTTTCCATACCCAAAGGTAAATTGATCGTGATTTACGGTCCTTCGGGCAGCGGTAAGTCAACTTTTTTAAACGTTATCTCCGGTCTTGATCGAGCTACGACGGGCGATGTCATTGTTAACGATGTTAATTTGTCGGCTTTGAAAGACCCCGAAATGACCCAGTTTCGCCGCGACAACGTTGGTTTTGTTTTTCAAAGTTACAACCTTCTACCCGACTTAAACGCACGGGACAACGTTAAAATCGGTCAGGTGTTACAAAAAGATCCTCAGAAAGCGCTTGACGTTGAGGATCTTTTTAACGACCTTGGCATCAAAGAAGTTCTCAACCAAGACATCCGTAACTTATCGGGCGGACAGCAACAAAGAGTTTCGGTGGCCCGGGCGCTTTCGAAAAATCCGACCATTATTTTTGCCGACGAGCCGACTGGTTCGCTTGACCAAAAAACTACTTTGAAAGTGATCCGACTTTTAGCTAGCATTAACAAGAAGTACGGAACAACTATTATCGTCGTCACCCACGACGAGCAGTGAAAAGAAGTAGCCGACCAAGTTTTATACGTTGATGACGGGAGAGTTAGCGACCATGAAACTGCTAGTTAAACAAGCTTTTAAACTAGTTTTTTCAAGGCGAATTTTTTCGCTGATTATGGTGGCGATTATTTTCGTTTCTTCGCTAACTTACACGCTTTTGCAATCTTCGGCCTTTTCGTTCCGAAGTTCTTACGACCAAATTAGCCAAAACGGGCAACTCCACGACAGCGTTGTTAAGCAGTTATTTAAAAACGAAGGTGATTTTAACTTGCGGGTTGAGGATAGCCAGTTGGCCGGTCAGAAAAAAATCGTCGTTGATCGCGCCAGCGGGGATTACCAAAGTTATTTTGAAGCGCACCCCTTTGAGTACCCGGTTCAAGTTGGCGACTTAAACGCCGAGCAGGAAAAAGTTCTTTTGGATCGAAAAATTGCCGAAGCCAAAGAGTGGATCCAAGACGTAGTCAACAACCAAAAACCGCAGCGTTTTCAAAAGGCGATTAACGAAATTTACAAGGGTCAATTGGAGATGCGCCACACTGCTTCGATCGCGATATTTGCCGAAGACAAAGCATTTAAGTTAGTCCAGGTGCCCGACCAAAACGTCAACATTAACAAGTTAATTATTTACGATGGCACCAAAAATTTCACTAAGATGCTTACCGATGAGCAGTTTCAAAAGGAAATAGATTTCCGCGCCCAAAATAAGTTTGGCATCAAAACGCCGTACAGCGTTAACAGTTTAAAAGGTTACCGGTGGGTGGCTCAAAGTTCAATCGGATCAACCATTACGCTGACTGACCCATCGGCTTACCAGGCGATCATTTCGCCGTCTTACGCCAATTTAAACGGCAAATATTCTTTGCATCCGAGCGAAATGCTAGAGCTTTACACCGAATACGATTTAGAGCAGCTCCACGAAAACGAGTATTTGAAAAATCGCTACCGCAACAATTTAGTCTGGGTCGACCAGATGCCTTACTTTGTAACTGGTATCGGCGTGACGCCCGACTTTGCTTTTCCGATCGTGGACCATTCGCGGCCAATCCCGACTCCCGAGCGCGAGGCGATTGTCTACACCAACTTGCGCGGCTACCAACGCGCGGTTGACAGTTTTCGTTCCAATCCCGAGGAAAACTATTTCTCGGTTAAGTACTCCGAACAAACTACGCCAGAAGAGCGCGCTAAGATTGACGGACAAATCGACGCAATTGCGCGCTGGGGCAATCAAATTTTACCCTCGCTTGGGATTGATTACGCGGGTGACATTCCGGCTATGAGTTGGCCTAAAAACGTGGCGATTGTTTCCAAGTATAACCAACTTAATGACCCGATTGTTTTAGCTCAGGAAAGAGTTATTTTTCTGGAGCAACTCAAAAAAACCATTTCAACGCTGACGATCGTAACCACCACTTTCTTGGTTATTTTTGTCGCCACCTTGTTCCTGTTAGTTTTCAAGTCTCTGCTAACTTTGCAAAGAAAGAAGTACGCCACCTTGTTAGCCTTAGGCTATCGGAAAGGTAAAATCGCTTTCGCGCTCAGTTGCGTAACCTTTTTGCTCGTCACGTTGCCGTCAATTCTTGGCTACGTGGTCGGCTACATTCTCCAGTTTCCCTTCATTAACATCTTTGCTAACTACTGGACGATTCCGACTTACGGCACGTTGTTCAACTTAGTTTCGCTAATCGTGACCGTCATCGTGCCGGTCGTCACGATCTTTTTAATGGTTTGAATTTTGTGCTACGTTGATTTGCACGGCAACATGGTTGACATGATCGCTCAACGCGACAAACACAAGTTCTCAATCGCGAGAGTTTTCTTGAAGCCTTTCCGTTGGGTTAACGTCAAAGTGAAATACATCATGTCGTTAACTCTTTCAAACTTTGGAAGGCTGATGCTTTCCACCTTAGCGGGAATCATTTCCGTGGCCACGATTATCATCGGGCTTTCTTCGCTCGGCAAAGCCGAGTATGCCTACAATCAAACAGTCAGCACCAACAACTACAGTTTCCAAGTTAACTTTTACACTCCGACTAGCGAAGGCGGCAACTACCGGGCGATACCTTACTTAGACGCGGTCTCGGTCAAGTATGACCCCGCTGAGTCGCGAGCACGTTTATATCCAACGCCTGATTCTCCCGAGTGGCACATTCCCAGCGTGCGCGACATCGACGAAGGAGCCAACGTAGACCTAATTAACCTGGATGACACCAAGCAAATGCAGCGCGTCCGACGGTTTTTAGCTAACAAACTCCAGTTTAAACCGCTTTTGGACGTCACAATTAGCGGGATTAACTCCTGGGACATCGCTCGCAAACTTATGCCCGATAACCAACGCAACCGGGCTGAGGCTAACGAAAGCGATTTTTACCGACGGGCTACCGGAATCGCGATTAACCAACGCTACCGCTCCAAACCTTGGTGACCGACTGCGGCTAACGATTGGAAAGTTTTAAGTCAGTCCAAAATGGTTAACCAGGAAAACATTGACCCTGATTTTGTCGCTTTTGTTTTTAACGCTTTAAGCAGAATGTTTGACACTTCTTCCTCGTTTCGTCCCTACGTGATCACTTACGACAACTTGCTAGTTGAAAGTCGCGACGAACTTTACACTTACGTTGCTTTCAACTACAAAAATCGCAACCAAGAAATTCCCTACACCATGATTGGTCTTGAGAATGAAAGCAAATTTTTCAAACTTTCGGCTTCCAACTGGCAAAAACTAACTAACTTTAAGCGCGCTAACGCTTACCCGGTTATCATCAACCGGTTTATATCGGAAAAACTTGGGTTAAGAATAGGCAGTCAGTTTAACGCTCCTATCAGCAACCACGTTAACCGCAACACAGAAAATTTCACCGTGCCATCGGTTGATTTTGAAGTTGTCGACGTGATTGAAACTTACGACGACAACCGCTTTCTGACGCTTAAATCGGTTGCCAACCATTTAATCGGATGGGAAAAAGATGCGCGCAATTTTAACGGAGTCTTAACTACTCAGCAAGACCCGACGGTTCTGAGCACCTTAAGTCTCTATTCTCCATCCAATTTTTACCTAGCAACCGACACGATCCACGGTCAGTGAGCAAGCGTGGTTGAACGCACGCTCACTAGCGCAGACCTTAGGTATGAGAGCGACGTCGCCCGGTCACTAAGCGAATTTTACGCACTCTATTCTCGCACGCCTTACGTAGCGATCAACAAAGATGTCGTTTGGCAAGAAATTAGCAGCACATCTTTCCGCAACATTTCCCGCCTGTCTTCAGACATCATTTGAATCATTCAGATGATTTCCGTCACTTTGTCAATCTTATTCGCGGCCATCGTTTCCGGCCTGTTAATTAGCGCCAACCGCCAAAGAATAGCCGCTCTTTGGACGCTCGGCTACAAAAGAGGTGAAATCATGCGGATGTTCGCGCTGATTTACGCTTTGCCCGTTTGTGCCTCAATTTTGATCGGCGTACCAGTTGCGTTTGGGATTTTGACTTCCTTGAAAATTTTCGTGATCAATTTCGGCTCGATTTTGATCCCCTTTGCCATTTCTTGGTGAGCGGTATTAATTGCTTTCTTAGCCATCGGCGTGATATTTGTTTCTTCAACGGTGGTCAGCATTATGACGATGAAACAGCAGCAAGCTCGCGAGGCGATCGGAGTTTAGATGAAAAAATTGGCAATTTTTGGACCACTAACGCTGGCGATCTTAGCGCCAATTTCCACTTTAGGTTGCTCAACGACTTGGTCGCGGTGAAAACCGCTTGGTGGCGACACCGAAACTAGTTACGAGTTTAAACACGACGTGGCTTCGCCCGGACAGTACCAAGTCCGTCCGTGGACAGAACTTTCGCGAGCTTATTCGCCTGAAAAAGAGACGGTTAATTTAGCGCTTGTCAACAACCATTACGAACTAATTGACCTGCTCGGAACGATTAGCGCTTTGCGCACCACTCGGCCGTTTGACCAAGCCTGAGCGGTTGCCGATTGAAACTACTACGCTAACCCGAGTGACGAGGCCGGTTATTTTTACGCTCTAAGCGAAATTAC